GAAGGGATGAACCCTTGACAGATAACCCCCCAGAAACTCTCAATTTGAGGCTAGAGTCAACAAGAGCAAAAACAGAAAGACTTCGTGATTTGGGGTATGAAGTCATTGAGAAATGGGGGTGTGAATTCAGACAGGAATTGATCGGTGCTGAAGATATCCGAACATTTATGATGAATCATCCGTTACTAGCTACCTCACCACTGAATCCTCGTGATGCATTTTATGGTGGGCGTACGGGCAATATATTCGAATATTATAAATGCAAAATTGGTGAACAAATAAAGTATGTGGATGTTTGCTCGTTATACCCATTCGTCTGTAAGTATGGCAAGTTCCCTATTGAACACCCAACAGTACATGTTGGAGAAGACTGTAAAAATCTCTGTCTCGATAGTACTGACGGTTTGATCAAATGTACGATTCTACCCCCGCAACAACTACATCACCCAGTTCTTCCACAAAAAATGAATAACAAACTAATGTTCGTATTATGTCGAACCTGCGGTGAAAAAATGATACAGAGTGAATGTACACATTCTGATGATGATAGAGCCCTCTCAGGTACATGGGTCATCGATGAAGTTTCAAAAGCCATTGAAAAAGGGTATAAAATGATCAATATCCATGAAATATGGGAATACAAGATGCAAAAATTTGATAAATGCACAGGGTCTCAAGGCCTCTTCACAGCAATGATGAACAGATTCATCAAAATAAAACAACAAGCTTCAGGGTGGCCAAAGAATTGTAAAACAGATGAAGAAAGATATCTTTATATTGAGAAGTTCTTCGAGCGCGAAGATGTGAAGATGGAATTCGATGAAATATTAGAAAATCCAGGACTACGCTCATTAGCAAAACTCATACTGAATTCTTTCTGGGGAAAATTTGGCCAGCGTGAGAACCAGTCAAAAACAAAGATAGTGAATGAACCAGGTGAATTTTATGATATTATGGTGAATCCAGCCTTGGAAATACATAATGTTCTGGCCATTAACGAAGATACCCTAATTGTGAGTTACCAGCACACTGAAGAGTCCTATGAGGAGCTTCCTACTGTCAATGTTGCTATTGCTTCTTATGTGACAGCCCAAGCCCGGTTAAAACTTTACAGCTATCTGGAGAAGCTTGGCGAATCAGTACTGTACTATGACACGGACAGTGTCATTTATGTTTCAAAACCCGAAGGGGTCGTTATCCCGACTGGCGAATTCGTGGGTGATATGACTGATGAGCTTGAAACTTATGGATCTGGAAGTTATATTACTGAGTTTGTTAGTGGGGGCCCAAAAAATTATTCTTATAAGATAAGATCAGTTGAGAATGATAGCGAGAAGATTGTGTGTAAAGTTAAAGGGATTACCCTTAACTATGCTACTTCCCAGCTGATCAATTTCGAAAACATAAAAAACATGATCTTAACTCCCTCACAACCTATTTATATTGTATCTAAAGCCATAAGACGAACCAAACAGCACGAAGTTGTGACACAAGAAGAAACTAAAATATATCGACCAAATTCAACAAAGAGAAGGTTTTTTCCAGATCATAGCTCAGTACCCTATGGTACTAAAATGAGAAAGATAGACGAATGATATTCATGTTTCACTGATATTTATTTATTTATTTATTCGATTTTAACCAAACAGGCCGAGACGGCCTTATTACATGGTTAACAACTAGACATAATACTTGAAGTGTAATAATTAGGCTATGAACCTACATCATAAACATGTTACATACCAATATATCCTTAATGAATTGCAGGGGCTTGTACCTAATCCAAAATAATAATATATAATATATACATATATATATATATATACACCTACACAAACATATACATATACATATATACATTGGAAATATCGGAAAAATCCATTGAGACCTGTTACATTTCATAAGGAGATATCCAATATGTGATTGATAATTACTGTATAAAAGACTTTAGGGGGTAGAGAGAAATCGACATTTACAAATACATTATAATTGTTGATTAATTTTATAATACTTACGAGAGGAGCTCTTAAAGTTAAGAGAGAATTTGGTATATTGAACATAAGTATTGAACGAGTACGACGCCCAGGTACATTAAAAGGAATAAGTGAAAGAATTTCGGGACTATTTAATTTACTGTTAATCACCTTGTACAGAAACATAATTGCAATTAAATTTCTTCTCTGGTCCAAGGACATCATTTTGAATTCATTTCTTAAATATGTTGATCTAACTGTATAATCAGGCCAAGAACGGTATTTTCTAAAATACAATATTCTTAAAAATTTGTTTTGTACTCTCTCTATTTTATCCAATGAGGATGCATACTCTGAAAACCACAGTAATGATGCAAACTCCAACTTAGGCCTTATAAGTGTAATATAGAGTAGCTTTATAGTGGTAATATTTGTGAATGCTGCAGATTGTCTCATTACATATCCTAGCGTTCTGTTAGCGGTTGACACTATATTCCTTATATGTTCCGCAAATGAAAAAACTCCATTGTAGGTTACACCAAGATCCTTAATTTCTGTACATCTGAATAGATCCTCTCCTCCCATCTCATAGTTAAAGATAATCGGCTCTTTAGTGCGAGTTATACTCATGACTTTACATTTACTGAGATTGAAATGTAGTTTGTTAATCAGGCTCCATTCATAAATACTATGCATGTCTTTCTGCAGCATAACACAATCCCTTACTGAATGTACTTTTTTATATACTTTGAGATCATCTGCAAACAAGAGGCATTCGGAGTATTTAATAACCGTAGAGAGATCGTTTATAAATATAATGAAGAGGAGAGGCCCCAAATTGGAGCCCTGCGGCACTCCAGAGTTTGCATAATATTTTCCAGATACATTTCCTTTATGTCTGACAATAAATTTTCTATTTTCTAAATAATTTTTCATTAATTCAATAGAGTTCTTCGTTAATCCGAACAGTGCCAACTTTTCCAGAAGGACATCATGATTTACACGGTCAAATGCCTTGCGGAAGTCGGTAAATACCGTGTCCATTTGGGATTTACATCCAAATGTTTCAAATGCTCGGTTTCCAAAAATAAACAAATTTGTATTGACCGACTTATTTGACATGAAACCATGCTGCTCAGATATTACGTATTTTTCAGCATATTGGTATAATTTACTGTATATGATCTGTTCGAACAGCTTGGATGGAGCACACATAATTGAAATAGGCCGGTAATTTTCTATGTTCACCTTACCGCCAGATTTATAGATTGGTGTAGTGATGGCTGTTTTCCATTGCTCTGGAAAGACTTTAGACTGTATAATTCTATTGAAAATATGAACGAGTGGTTTTTTCAACCATTCACTACAACCTTTTAAGACATAGGGAGGGATACTATCAGTGCCTGCAGCTTTTTTTGGTTTTAATTTCTTTACCGCTTCCTCGAAATCTGCCTCCGAAATAGCTTCAATTGAGAATGTGTCGTTGACGCCCCCTACAATATCGGAATTTAGGCTATAAGACGCCTTATTCGAATCATAAATGGAAGAAAAGAATTCTGCAAAAACTTCAGCGGTGTCCTCTTCCTTCACTAAGTTACTTTTATATAGAAAATTTCCAACATCGGTGCAGTTTGCCTTTTTACTTTTAACATAGTTCCAAAAGCAGTTCGCATTATCTGATATATTATCCTGCAGCTCTTTAAGATACCTGCTCTCTTCTTTTTTTATAATTGCTTTCAATTTCTTTCTCATTAGTATATACTTTTCCCTGTAAAAATTCGATACTTTCTGTAACCTTCTATATGTGTCCTTTTCTTTCAACATACTCTTTATTTCATTTGTAAACCAGATAGGAAACGATTTATAGTTTTTGTATATATTAAACTTTGGGACAGATTCTGCTATTATTGTATTCCATATTTTATAGAAGGCATCTAAAGCCTGGTTTACATCGGTTTCTGCTAAAACACCCGCCCAATTTGTATCCCGCACATTTAAGGTTAGATTGTCGAAATTAGCTTTTTTATAGTTATATTGATCCTGATTATTCATCTGTTTGTTACATTGACTACTTTTTTTATATTCAATATTTATATTGAGGCTTGGATGGAATATGTCTTCTCTGACAAACGGTATACATTCTCTTTGCACGCTACAATTTTGTTCGTTATTTGCCGATGTGATTACTAAGTCGAGAGTTTTTCCTTGAAAATTTTGTATGCTATTAAGAAGTTTGAAGGAATTAAATTCTAAAAACTCTTGTAATATTTTTGATTTTTGATTACATGCGTTGAAATTAAAGTTGGAACCGTTAATTTCGGGGAAATTAAAATCTCCGAAAATATATGTATCTTCAGTATTAACTACCTGTTCCTGTACAAAGTCAAATACCAATTCGTACAAGTTACTTGAGCAATTTGGGGGTATATATACTGCGATAATACTTATTTTTTTGTTACCTGCTTTTAGATGAACAGCCAAACCTTCAAATTCGGTACAATTTCTTTCGGTTTTAATCAAAGTATATTCCTTTCTTAAAGCAATAAGAACTCCTCCACCAGTAGTTTTGTTCGTTATTTGCAAATTCCTGTTAGCTCTCACCAAGTGGTACACATTTGTATCAACAATTTCGCCATCGCTAATCCCTTCTTGCAACCATGTTTCAACAGCTATGATGATGTCGAAGTTGTAATCTAATGTACTTCTAAAAAAATCGTTGGTTTTTGTGTTCAAGCCCCTACAATTCTGGTAGTACACATTAATAGTCTTAAGCATAACATATAACATCAGTGAGCTCAGTCTGTAATGAAAGTTAACAGTAGAGTGTATTGAGTAAAGCAAAATAATATATATGAATAGGTGTTCAAATTAATTACAATAGTATCAGGTAGGTATAATGAAATGAATTTATAACATTTTCGACTCTATTTTAAACTGAAACTGAGAACTATAAAACACGTACAGTTCATTCTATTTTATTTAAATTGCTTGTCCGCAATGCCAAATTTGTTAACAACGCAAATTATTTTCCAGTATAGGCCAGGCTTTAGATACAATAAGGATAGGGTACAAAAACTAAGAATAGTAGTTTATCTACTTTGACTTTTTTTGTTCCTTTCAGTTCGCCAGATCCACTTCATGTCGAATAAGTTTTACAGCGTTGTCGCATTTGGCATAAATTTTGCAATTTTGCGACCAGACTTCTTTATTCCCAAATCTCTTCTTTGCTTGAAGGAGTAGCTTGTAGCGATATTCTGTTAAATCCTCATTGATGAAAATTCCTGTTCCTTTTAGCTTAAATTTGGCTTTGTATACTTCATTTCGTTTCAGGTTGGTAACAAAGTCTACAATTACTGCCCTCGGTTTAGTAAGATCTGCGGAAATTTTGCCAACTCTAAATACTCTATTCAGTTCGAATATAGCACATTTGATTTTCATTCCATCATTTATTGTACTTAAGATTTTGCTAATCAAATTCTCATCTGTTTCCTCATTGACTCCAATTAAGCGTAGGCTATTCATTTTGGAGTTTTGATGTAACTCATCAAGTTTTTCATTGACGAATATAAATTGCTTCTTATGGTTGTGCTCTACTTCTTCTAGATGTATGAATTTAGCATTCAGAGAGTTCAACGTCACATCTATTGTATCAAATCTGGCTGTCATATTTTCCAATTTATTATCGATTTTGTTCAGTAATTTTGACGATATTTTGCTAATTAGAGATTCCAAATGAGCTTCTTCAACTTGACTGCTCCGTGTTGGCATTTTAGTTCTTGGAGATCTGACAACAGTGTTAGATTAATTTAACTGAACTAATCAAAATACCTTCTCTATTGTAGTTTCCAAACTGCACTTTTCACCACTGTTCAATTGCATATATTTTCAACAAACAACTGTGCAAATTTGTAATTTCATTGGTAAAGTATAACCACTTAAATTAACGAAAATTCAAGAGCTCACTGCTGTACGATGTTTACTCTATGAAGGTCATCTAGATATGACCCCCGATTATGAATAAGAACAGAACCTGATGTTTTTTTTTAATTTATCTGAAATTTTCATAGCAATAACGATCATGTGAAGCTTTTTTCATTAAGATAATTATTATTGTTATCATTGAGTATCATTATACGTATAAGTTGATAGGATGTTCCATTCATTTGAAATTTTCATAGCAATAACGATCATGTGATGCGTTTTTTTATTATAAAAAATATCATTGTTACCATTGTAGTAGGTATGATTATACGTATAGGTTGGTAGCACGCCCCCTTCACTTACTAAAAAATTTCCAACCAATTTATCATAAAATCGGCGCCCTTCGATGTATTCTGTTTGTATATAAAACGACGGAATTGATGAATATAGGAATATTTCATGGTTATTTCTCGTTATCAATATTTCTTCTCATCAACATTGTTTCAAATACAAATTTTTGATAGTACGTGAAAAAAGTGACAGATATGTGTAACAAATGACAAAAGTTTTGAATTGCTGTCCCTAGTGTATATATATATTTATATATTATATATTTTATATTAATTCATCCATATTCTACCTCACACATTTCCTTGTTTTTTTCTTTGTTATATCATGTTACAATGTTCTTATTGTTATACCATGTTACAAAAAAAAATATATTGATGAAATTATGTAAATGATCACAATTAAATAGTTTACCAATCTTTGTTTGTTTCTTTTGTTTATATCCCGACCAACAATACCTGTTTCCTTTAGAGAAAAGTTTTTATAAGGGTGCGATTTCTGAATACCCTTCATCAGATGATGAGAGCAGAGTTATGAAGATGCTTTTTTTTTTGTCCATATTTCTATTCAAACGAATCCCTATCTTCGTATGTATAGTTATTATGTCAAGTTCGTCAGTTTTGAACGAATTTTTCCAGAAACGTACACACTGAATTGGGTCGGCAAATGAGGGATCAGATTCACTGCATTTCTTATCGACCTAACAATTCATATTATTTGAAATCGAGTAGAAAATATGCAATAAGTTTTTTCTTGTACACACTGATGTGTTGGGGTTTCATTTGTACCTATTCATAATAATTTATAATCGCGACGATAGCCAAGAATGAGAGATATGGTGGGAATTGTTAACACGTTGGCTACCATATGAGTCTCATGTGATACACACTCTCACTCGCTCTACAGCCCACCGTACAAAATCGCATACTCCCTCTCTGTACCAAGTGCAGAATCAAACTCAAAACGTAGCCTTTTGGTACAAGATGTTGCTATATTGTATTTTGAAGCAGATGCCTTCATCTCGACAGAGTTTTCTGAAAGATCACCGGTGATTCACATGGTACATAAATGAACCATTTCATCATATGATTGTAGGGAACTCCTTATATTTTGTTGTTTTTTCTTCGATTATAAGTGCGTTTATTCGAACCTTCAAAAGAAAATAATGGACAATAAAGACGAAGAACGTCTTTTGAGGTGGTTTGAAGAGATAGAAAGCGAAGGTGAGTTTTACTGCATGAAATTTGTAAATATAATAACATACATTGCTTTTTATTTTCATTAGAGGCAATTGAGAATAACACTAACATAGAGAACTCAGTTAGAAATGATGATGCATGTTCAAGCGATAGATCTACACCAGAAGATCCATTCTGTGCTTCAGAATCAGAGTACGAACCATCGTCAGCTGAATCAGAATCCTCGGAGGATGAAACCAACTTTCAAAATAATGAAGATGTTGAAAGCGAGGACAATGACCAACTTGCAGACAATCAACTACCTAGCACTCAACAGCAAGTTCAGACATCTTCATGGGTTTCTGTAACAGGTGATACTCTAAATTCATTTACTTTCACTGGTAATCCAAGCGTGAATATTCCAGAAGGTCTCACCCCAATTGAAATTTATCGAATGATTATCACTGACGATATATTGGACCTCGTTATTCTTGAAACAAATAGAAATGCTAAGAGACAAGATCAAAAGTGGAAAAATGTAGATTCCGGGGAAATGCTCAATTTTTTTGCTATAATAATGTACATGGGATTGGTAAAATATCCGAAAATATCTGACTACTGGTCGAAAAAAATGTTGTATCGACATTGCTTTGTACGACATGTTATGCCTAGAAACAGATTTCAATCCCTACTAAGATATATCCATTTCGCTGATAATCTTCAAGCAAATGAGGAAGATCGTCTATACAAAATAAAACCATTTGTTGATGTTCTGACTGCACAGTTCAAAAATTTGAAAACACCTTCTGAGGTTGTTTCAATAGACGAATCAATGGTGCCATTTCGTGGTAGATTATTGTTTCGGCATTATATACCATCTAAGGCGTCAAAATATGGCATCAAATTATTCAAACTCTGCGACGATCTAGGATACACTTATGATTCCGAAATATACAAGGGAAAGAGCGATACTCAAAATCTTGGTAGAAAAAGTAATACCACAGTAATGAATTTACTGAATGACTACCTTGATCAGGGTCGCACCTTAGTAGCAGATAATTTTTACAATAACATAGAGTTAACAAGAACGCTCCTGAGTAGAAATACTCACGTAGTTGGTACATTGAGAAAAAATACGAAGGATATTCCGAAAGAAATTCTTTCCGACAAAAAAATGAAACGGGGAGACATGAAAGGCAAGGAAAATGGAGGAATAGTAGTGGGAAATTGGAAAGACAAGCGACCTGTCCGATTCATTACCACACGCCATAGTTTGGAAATGGAAAACACTCAAAAAAAAAATCGTAAAGGTGAACCTATTCTCAAACCTTCGTCAATTATATTTTACAATAGACATAAGGCAGGCATAGATCTCTCAGACCAGATGTCGTCTTATTTCACGGTGTTGCGCAGGACCATTCGCTGGTACCATAAAGTTGCGTTTGAATACTTGTTCGGTGCAGCTGTCGTAAATGCTTTGATATTATATCAAACTACAAATAACACAAAAATTCAAATTTCCGAATTTCGGGAACATCTTGTCAGTGGATTGTTGAGTCAAGGTGTGAACAACTTAGGTTCAGCAGAAAGGAAGACCAAACACATATTACAAGAATGTGTAGAAAAAACCAAAGATAACAGAAAGAAAAGAAAGCGTTGTGTGGGATGTTACGAAAAGGAGTACGCAATTTACAAAAATTCAAAGATGGCAGCGAAACATACAAAATTGGTTACCACCTTTTGCGCGGAATGCCCCGAGAAACCTTCTTACTGTTTGGACTGTTTCCAGAAGAAACATTAGTGTTTTCTTTGTACAATGATTATTGATAAGATTATTTTTTACTTATGACATGGAATATTTCTTTTTGAGTGGAATATGCATAATAAATATGAATTGAAGAGTGTAACAATTTCAATAAAAAATTGACAAGAGAGTGAGCGGTACGTTTTTTGATCAGAATAATCCAGTCAATTTCTTTGGGCATTTTTCAGATCTATGTGTATCACTGGTGATACCCACTTGAACCCGATATTATTTGGTTCATACTTGCACCATACCCACAATCTAGTTCCTTCGTTTATACACTGTGCTTCTCTACAAGCATTTGAATAATATGTGTTCATTATCACTGGTGATACATAAAGTACAGAAGTGAACTATGAAAAAGCATCACCGGTGATACATATGGTACCCTGGGTCAGAATGTGGAAATCAGGCTTGGTAGTCAACGTGTTAAATATATCTTCAATGCCCTGTAGATCCTTTCTCTTTTGGTTAATTTTATGTTGCTGGAGGTAGTGGAGAAGGAATTGAACAAGCAGTCGTGTTTATGTCCAAAAAATTATTCTTCCATTGAAATTAAAATTGAGTTTTTTTTGGCAATCGATTTTCATATCCTCAGATGTATTCTCGATTGACTTAAGTATAAGAATTATACAAAAAAAAAGAAAGAATAATCTCAATGAATATAGTTGAGATAAACAAATAGTGAAGTTGGACTGCCATGGTGGGGGAGTGGTGCCATAGTGAATTATTGTATTTGTAATTGCTAGACAAGCAAGTTAGAAGGTAGACGGGTAATTGAACAGAATGGGAGGCTGAGGTGAGTGGGGATAGGAGGACTGGAGCAGTGGGTAGAAGGAGGGTAGACGAGCGAGAGTCGATTGCCAAACAGAAAACATGGTTTGAGGAAGTGAACTTTGGTGGTCAAGTAGGGTGATGATCACGGCAGGCAGCAGACATGACGGGTATCAGGAGTGTCAAACAATAGACCTGACAGGCTGTAGGCATGTTTGCAGGCACGGCAGGCAGCAGGTGAGGCAGGCAACATGAGAGGCAGTCAGCAAGTGGGGCAGGCAACCGGTGAGGCAGTCAGCAGGTGGGGTAGGCAACCGGTGAGGCAGTCACCCGGTGAGGCAGTCAGCAGATGAGGCAGTCAGCAGGTGGGGCAGTCAGCAGGTGAGGCAATTGACAGGATTGGCAATTGGCTGAATTGACACATGGCACGATTGGCAGGTAGCAGGATTGGCAGGTGTAAGGATTGGCAGGTGGCTGAATTGACACATGGCACGATTGGCAGTTAGCAGGATTGGCAGGTGAAAGGATTGGCAGGTGGCTCAATTGACACATGGCACGATTGGCAGTTAGTAGGATTGGCAGGTGGCAGGATTGGCAGGTGGCAGGAGTGTCAGGTTGCAGGAGTGGCAGGATGCAGAAGTTACAGGTTGCAGGAGTGACAGAGCAGGAATGGAGAAGCAGGTGTCAGGTAGCAGGACAGATAGATGGCAGGAGTGGCAGGTAGCAGGAGTGGCAGGTGGCAGGAGTGATAGAGCAGGAATGGGGAAGCAGGTGTCAGGTAGCAGGACAGATAGATGGCAGGAGTGGCAGGTAGCAGGAGTGGCAGGTGGCAGGAGTGACAGAGCAGGAATGGGAAAGCAGGTGTCAGGTAGCAGGACAGATAGATGGCAGGAGTGGCAGGTAGCAGGAGTGGCAGGTGGCAGGAGTGACAAAGCAGGAATGGGGAAGCAGGTGTCAGGTAGC